TCTATTGTCAAACACTATTACACTTATATAATACAATCACAGATTTCGCCAAAATTAAACTATAAATAAATAATATTAAAAGACAAACAATATTAACCTATTCTCAATTTGACCAGACTTTAAACAATATAACAAAAGTTTGACAATTGACAGTAAACAAAGAGTATATTTACATGTATGTGCTGTGTCAAATACATGGTAGTGTGTGTAATGATTTTTTTATTGATTTAATGTATCTTTTATGCATAATTCAAAAAAAAATAGCATTCTGCACTCCTTCTCTATATTCTCTATAAGTGTTGAAAATTTCATACTCCTCCGTCCGCGCAATTTCCGTAAAAACGGGTACAAAGTTTTTGCTTCACGTATTAATATATAGATTACAAAAAGAGTTGTCATCGCTGATCGATAAATAGGCCGTATATATCTTAACAAAGTAGTAAACTTTCAAATCTTCATATAATACTTACTTTTAGATATAAAAAAAGAAACATAAATCCTTATGAATAATTAAACAAACAAACACAATGACAATGTAAGCTTTAACCAACCTTATAACTTGTGTTTGCCATGCAAGATTGACAAGCTTGCAGACAACTTAAAATATACCAAGGGTAAGGACACAGACCGTCACTGTCTGTAGTAATTTCTTAATCTTCGTAAATAATACGTCTTCTTCTTAGCCGTTTTCTAGTCCAGTACCAGGATTCTCTTTCCTACTTAAACTCTTCCTTCTTGCCCGGTTTTCGGCATCCTTCTGGGTGAGGTTATTCTCCTCCATATTCGCCTATACCACATCCAAGCACCGTTTCTTGGGCATACCGCGGTATCTTGGACCTGGTAGAGATTAAGGCATCTATAAATAGTATAGAATTACTAGCCGCACATACTCGCCCATTTCGTAACATTATTATTTATTGTCATTATTATTATTAGCGAGTCCAACACTCATATAAAGATTAACCTTTCCAAGTAGGTAGGTACATGTATTTTCTATATGGATACCAAGTTTCAAGTCAAACGGATGCATCGTTCAGTAGTTATAACGGAACATCCATAAAAAACACTGTAGATTTTTAAATTAGTATAGATTATATCAAATAATACAAATAACTCTAAAGTATTTGAAAGAATATATAGTTTAAGAGCTCATGAACTCTTGAGTGATCTCTTACTATGGCATAATCAGTGTCAAGTAATTATCGGTACATCAGTTGTCCCCCCTTCGCTTACCTTCCGGAACGTTAGATTACCTTACAATCGTACCGGCTCGTGATATGCCCTACCAGATAATACCCAAGTTAACCAACCAAACTTATCTCGACGCTAAAAACTAAAACACAATATCCGTATCCTTGTATACAGGATCCCGTGGTTTCCTGCATCTATAAAGGCTGCGAAATTATTAAAATGCCTTTAAAAGAGATACATGTCGTGTTAAACAACAGAGAATTTGATTAAAAACAAATTTAAATCCAATTAATATGTATTCAAAACAAGGATAACACAATGCCTTTGTTGTTATTTTCCATTTTAATTCATAAATTGATAAAGCATTATTTTATATTTCACGTCAATAACTTATCTGTAGGTCGTTTTAAAATATCATAAATATATTATAAAAGAATAAACAATTATTAAACGTTATTAATATTTAACAAAGATGTTACAAAATTCAAGATCATGCGGAAAAAATAGTTACAATAGTAGTATAACAAAAAATATAAAAAGTACTTAAGTATTGTGTTCACAAAATGGTCAAAACGAATTCAAAAATACAATTCTAAATTCAAACGACCCATTAACCGGTTCCCACGACCGCCATGCTGGCTCGTCCTCGCCCGCTATTGGTCGAGGCCACCGGTTTAGAATTAGAATGTGTAGACCCCACCATTTGGCGAGCGGCAAATTATGTTACCAGTAAACATTTTTTTCGCTATACAAATAATGGAAGCAGCTGCTTCCATTATTGCCGTTCGTTTTTCAAATTAGTGTCATCGGCCGTTGACAATGCCGTGGGCGGGAGAAATAATGGTTTAAGTCTATCCTACATACATATGTTTATTTAGGTACACACCTCATTATGTGATTGCAACTGTAATTGTAAAGTTATTGTATCTCTATGCACTATAATAATTTAAAAATACTACATATTACTGTTTAACTGTTTTGAGTGAATTTGAGCGTATGAAGTTACTTAATACCAAAATGCGAGTATGTATAATATTATTTTGTCTATGGCAAAGGAAAACTACTTTTAAGGCAAACGATTCTGAACCAAACTGCCATGTTTTACGAGTCTAAAATACGTACATTAAAATAGACACGTGTATGTGACCGCGGTGACGTGTAGCCGTGTGGCTAAACAATCCGTTAGTTAATATTCAAGGTAGACGTGATTAGCGAAACCTCAAGGCGAGCCTGTTATATCATGACGAAGTTACGAACGAATGTTATTTAGAAAAATGTCCAATGCCAATCGTAAATGTTACTTGTTTAATGTTGTTTTGAAATAATAAAATATGCTTTACGTAAATAATAATACATTTTTGATGTCTGTATAATTTTGAACAATACGAAGGTAGGTACTTAGGTCAAGGCGTCTATGCAAGTTATTTCAAAGACACTTACACTACTACTCAGAATAGTGTAGTTAATTTGAACTAATAATATTTAAGAACAATTAGAACTAGAACTTTCTTTCTCAATACCATAGATAAATCAGCCTAACATAATGAATCCAAAATCTTCAAAAGATACTACCTCAATTCATTAATCAATTTACCGATGACTTTAAGAGATTATAGAATCATGATATTTAGATTCTATAATTCGCGTTAAACATTCGATTTATTTTAAATTCATTAAGTAATAACAATTGGACCATGTAGCTTACTATTGTAAGCACTTGAAGTCATTTACTTGACATTTATAGTTTTATTTTTGTGTCTTTTATGTCAATCTGCTTTTTTTCCGGGCCATTCGAAGGTTGGTCGGGATGGATTGTTTTTTAAATTGCTAGGTATGCGACTTAAATGGATAGTAGCTGCTGATGATCTACTCTTGTAAGATATCCAGTTGTAATCAAGTATTTAGTAGAAAATTTACCAATAAGATGAAACACATGGTCATCCATGACCATTAGTGCACGGAGTCATTCATTTTGGGTCTATTTTTTTGCCGTAACATAAATTTGTGCTCTGGTCTTAGAATGTGACAGTAACTTTTTTCTTGCGATAATAAAAAGCGACGGCTTTAACCCGGGAATTACTGAAGGCTGTGATTCCAGTATCAGGGACGCACAGATTAGCCAACAGTTTACGGGATATCGAAAAATATCAAACAAACGACCTCCAAGTGGTAGTTACATCGAAATAGAAATTAAATGAAATCAATTAATTGAACTGAATTACTTCTAGTTCTTTTAGATAATCGCGAGACGTTGACATAAAGGAAACTTTACGGTTTTTATGTTGTTTCACTCTTGTCTTTAATAATATTACGACAATAATAAACTCGAGATTAAACCGCAAAATTAGTTTTAATATTAAACAATTTCTATTAAACTATTGGTCCCGTGGTAGTCGAAATTCGACTATAATTAATTATAAGTTTGAACATTATTCTTCTATAATCACAGATCTCACCAGGACTATACTATAGACAAATAATATAAAGATAAACAATATTAACCTATTTTCAATTTGACCACCGACTTTAAGCAGTAACAAAAGTTTGACAATAAACAAATATACATGTGTGTGTCAAATACATGGTAGTGTGTGTAATGTTTTTTTAATTGATTTAATGTATTATTAATGTATAATTTAAAAAAAAAATTAGCATTCTACACTCCTTCTCTATATTCTCTTTAAGTGTGGGAAATTTCATACTCCTCTGTCCACGCGATACATCTTAGATACATCTTAATTCAAGCTTTATCTTAAGACATTAAGATGATGTACAATTTTCACCTTCAAATTTGAACTTAAGTAAGTAATGACATATTATAAATGACATATTATAAGTAAGTAATGACATATTATAAATATATTGTATTCAGTTATAATTAATCTTGATATTTCCGTATTGTTCCGTCACTTACCAATGCTGTGTTACGCTTGAAATATAGGCATCCAGAGGATCATCAATCATCATAGTCAATTGGGTTTTCCCAAACATTAGTCATTAGTTGAAACGGTATTTTGACGCAGATTAATGTCGATGTTTCTAGATGTTTCTGGAATAATTTTGCGTGAATCTTAGTTGTCTTTTAAGCGTCATTTACCAACTATGACATTTTTTAATCTTGTAAAACTAAACTAAACGCCTTAATTTCACGGGTGTTTTACACGATTTTTAGTTTTACTGTGTTTCTCAGTGGAGGGAGATCTTAGAGCTCATGCCTCAAGGTGGGTGGCGGCATTTACGTTGTAGATGTCTATAAGCTCTGGTAACCACTTTTTTTTGCTGATATGGGTGGACGATCTGACAGCCCACCTGGTGTTACATGGTTACTGGAGCCCGTGGATATCTACGACGTAAATGCGCCACCCACCTTGAGATATCAGTTCTAAGGTATCAAGTATAGTTACAACGGCTGCGGGGTAGTAGCATCCAAGCAATAAAAATAAAAAGATGTGTGGTGTCGTGGGACCCCGGATAGGAACGAAGTTACTTATTATAAAAATATTGATTTTAAGTTCTATTCGAGGTATAAAGAAAATAATTATTCGGGTATACATTTTTTATTATGATTTTCTTATTGATAAAAAAAACTCTTTACAAAGTTATCAACTTTACTTTATTCACAATGATTTATAAAAAAATATGTTATTTTTGTACGTTATTACAAAGTTAAGAGTCGTACCTACACTGTGTGAATTACTAATAAAAATCTTACGTTACGGACGTTTTTCCCGATTAGGGTACCCCTCCGCATCGTCCCATAAGGAGTTTCCTTCAAAAAAAAAAAAAATTACGTACCGTTTCTCTTTCAGAGTCCCGCGTCAGAGTCCGATAGCAGTTCTGTGTCCGGCACGAACAGTCCAGCTGCGGCTCCTCCACTGCTGCAGCATCTCCTGCAGCTCCAAGCGCAGAACCCACAGACTATAGCACAGGTGGGTCTCGTAAAGACACTAAAATTCGCCTTCTGTTTGGTCTCGTTTTCGAGGGAAAATCTATTAAGCACATATCCCCCGTTTTTTCCTACTGATAGCTTTGAGAGGCTATATCAGTGTCACCTTAACTAGTAGGTGAGCTCACGGGGCTCAAACCTGATGACGTTGCTAACACGAACCCTAGCAAGAGCCGTGCTTCGCAGAATCTACCACCGGATCGGAAACGCGACCCACTGAGAAGATCCGGCGAGAAACTCAGTGGGCTGTGTCTGAGGGTTAATTTACTCGTCGAGCCCTTCGTCGCAAGCGACGGGTTCGACGANTTGTAGGTGAGCTCACGGGGCTCAAACCTGATGACGTTGCTAACACGAACCCTAGCAAGAGCCGTGCTTCGCAGAATCTACCACCGGATCGGAAACGCGACCCACTGAGAAGATCCGGCGAGAAACTCAGTGGGCTGTGTCTGAGGGTTAATTTACTCGTCGAGCCCTTCGTCGCAAGCGACGGGTTCGACGAGAACGATGACCGGTATCACCTAATATCAGTTTCATAGTACTAGTGGTCCTCTAGTAGTCGAAACATACCCGATCCTGTGGACCGAATGGTAAATAGTCGACGTCGCCCAAAACACGTCATTACGGATCGTCCCGATCCATTAACGGTGCTTTTAGGTACCTCAAGCACCGGTCACCGTCGTCGTCGAACTGGTCGCTTAATTAACCCATAGACACAGCTCACTGAGTTTCTTGGCGGATCTTCTCAATGGGTCGCGTTTCCGATCCGGTGGTAGATTCTGCGAAGCACTGCTCTTGCTAGGGCCAGTGTTAGCAACACTCCAATTTGAGCCCCGTGAGCTCACCTACTAGCTAAGGTTACGCTGAAATAGCTTCTCAAGGCCATCAGCTTAGGTAGGAAAAAAGATAAAGAAAAACAGAAGGTTTCTAGTTGAAAACGTTCACCACTCGATGCACTTCCCTACGTCTTATTTAATATACCGGCCTTCAAATTCCTTAGATAGATACACCGACTCATCCGATAAATTTCGAAAACGGGCTGCAAAGTCGACAGGTGTATACGAGCGTCTTGTTTCAGTTCCAGCAGATGATAGCGGCGTTGACGGCGCTGGGCACGGGGCTGGTGCCTCCACCGCTCACGCAGGCCTGGATGATGCAGAGGTTCGCGCAGCAGCGACACCAGGCCGACAGGTGAGGCGGCATCCTTGTAACTTCAGCTGCACAATCAACAGTTTATTGAATTTTAATTTAAAAATTTACTGGTAATAGGACCTCTTGTGAGCCCGCGTGGGTAGGTACCACCACCCTGCCTATTTCTGCCGTAAAGCAGTAATGCGTTTCGGTTTGAAGGGCGGGGCAGCCGTTGTAACTATACTTGAGACTTTAGAACTTATATCTCAAGGTGTGTGGTGCATTTACGTTGTAGATGTCTATGGACTCCAGTAACCGCTTAACACCAGGTGAGCTTTGAGCTCGTCCACCCGCCTAGGCACAAAAAAAAAAGTTAAATCGACAATGGAAAACAGTCGCAATTGCAGCCACGCGTTTACAAAACCAATCACTACAATCGAATACCTTGAATCTGTTAAATAGATCTTAGAGAACAACACGAAAAATAAAAACTTCAGAGGTGTCAAGGGACACCCGGATGGAACGAAGTTCCTTTCGATTAATTAATGAAGGAATTGTAATTTTTTTTTTAAGTTATAATAATAAATTACGGCATTATGAAGAAGAAAAAAACAATACTATGAACTAAATTACTATTGTTGAAACGCTATCTCGAGAAACTGTACTCATTACGCGGACCAATCGGANGGGACACCCGGATGGAACGAAGTTCCTTTCGATTAATTAATGAAGGAATTGTAATTTTTTTTTTAAGTTATAATAATAAATTACGGCATTATGAAGAAGAAAAAAACAATACTATGAACTAAATTACTATTGTTGAAACGCTATCTCGAGAAACTGTACTCATTACGCGGACCAATCGGATACGAGCAATGTCACGCGATAAGCGCCCACACGTTGATTGGTCCGAATGACGGATCTAAAAAGTGTCGTGACAACTTTTCGTAAGAATTTTTTCCGTCTAGCCCCCTTTCATTGCGCGCGATAAGGAACTTCGTTCCAAAACTTCGTTCCAACAAAAGCCTAAAGTGATTACGTTCAAACATTTCGATCGGAATAAATTATTCACACAATACAATTCAGTTTATTAATAATTCGTGGTAGGTAAAACGTAAACGACGAATCAAAATCGTTTATCTGAATCGATTGCGTACTGTGATTGACGTGTTCCTTGATTCTGGATTCGTTTTAACCTACATTATATCTGTAATACATTAACGTTTACAACGAACATTAGTTTCATATTTATTGACTAGCGACCCGCCCTTGCTTCGCTTCAGAACCTGTAATTTATTATTGATTTCGCCATTTTGAATGTTATTATAGATATAAACCTTCCTCTTCAATCGCTCTATCTATTATAATTTTTTTTTTTTTTTTTTTTTTATTGCCTTTGTAGGCAGACGAGCTTACGGCCCACCTGATGGTAAGTGGTCACCGTTGCTCATGGACGTCAGCAATGCCAGGGGCAGAGCCAAGCCGCTGCCTAAAAAACCGCGTCAAAATCCGTTGCGTAGTTTTAAAGATTTAAGCATACATAGAGATATAGGGACAGAGAAAGCGATTTTGTTTTATACTATGTAGTGATAAATGAATGATCTAATATTTATTGGTACTGTGTATTTTGAGCTAGGATGGATAGGTCCAAACTCTAGTCCAGATCCAGCCTCTTGTTTCAATGCAAGAGGTCGATATTTTTGAACTACACTAGTTTCGGCGCAGCAAGGTAATCAACAAATTAAAGAGCGGACGGTTAGCATGGTATGGACATGTGATACGTAGAGAGAAGACGCATGTGACTAGGAGATGTATGGAAATGGTAGTGCAAGGTGGAGGGGGAAGAGGTCGACCGAAGAAGACATGGATGGAGTGTATGAATGACGATATGAGTGTGTCACACGTGCTCAACAGCCGTTACGTCAGTAGCTTCTCAAGGTTATCAGCATAGGTAGGAAAAAAAGGCGATAACTGTCGCGAGGTCGCTATGAGATTGTTGACATAGCCCAACTCTAGCATATTATTATACTCTCAACGACTAGGATAGTTAAGTGTTAAATAAATCTCGCAAACTATTTTCTGTTGATGACCAGAATTAACTTTCATTGTTACTACATTCCAAACGATTTTTATTCCTTTCATGGCCGATCTATCGATATGCGTCGAACTATTATAGTCTTTTTTTTGCCTGCCTATGCTGATAGCCTTGAGAGGCTATTTCAGCTTCACCCTAATTTTTAGCTGACGTTCACGGGGCTCAAGCCGGAGTGTATTTTATTGCTTAGACGGGTGGACGCGCTCACAGCCCACCTGGTATTAAGTGGTTACTGGAGCCCTTAGACATCTACAACGTAAATGCGCCACCCACCTTGAGATATAAGTTCTAAGGTCTCAAGTATAGTTACAACGGCTGCCCCACCCTTCAAACCGAAACGCATTACTGCTTCATAGCAGAAATAGGCAGGGCGGTGATACCTACCTGCGCGGACTCACAAAAGGTCCTCCGATCAGTAAAAGTGAGTGTTAAGCTGACGGAAGAGAATGGAAGAGAAAAATTAGCTGTGCCGAACCCACCTAGTGGGGTAAGGTGGAGAAAAAGAAGAAGAAGACACATGCTTCGGCGCACTTAAACGAGAACTCAATTCAAATCCTACGTTCCTTAACTAAGCGCTTTTCTTCCACAATAATAAAGCTGTTGGCCTTCATAGATATAACCCGTCGATAATATTGTTTGAGATCCATTTTAAACATGAACAGTGTCTTCGTATATCTGCATTTTACCTTAAACTTTAATTCAATGCCGTTGGAACGGTGTCCGTTCAATACGAGTTTATCTAAACTTACGAGTGCGTTATTTTACGTAACAATTAGCTGGATACATATTTAGAAATACTCTGATTATTTCTATCCGCCTATTTCTGCCGTGAAGCAGTAATGCGTTTCGGTTTGAAGGGTGGGGTAGTCGTAGTTAGAGACCTTAGAACTTATATCTCAAGGTGGGTGGTGCATTTACATTATAGATGTCTATGGGCTCCAGTAACCACTTAACACCAGGTGGGCTGTGAGCTCGTCCACACATCTAAGCAATAAAAAAAATTAAAAATATTTAGAAACTAGGAAACGAATTAGTTTAATGTAAATAATAAAGACGTTATTATTTAGTTTTTAGATGATTGATGACTAATTAACTGATAATTGGTGACTGAAGTCCATAGATATTACCGCGTGAATGTCCACTCATCTTGGGATACAAATTGTTTCAGTTGTTTTGCATTTACTGGTGATAGGACCTCTTGTGAGTCCGCACGGGTAGGTACCACCACTCTGCATGTTTCTGCCGTGAAACAGTATTGCGTTTCGGTTTGAAAGGTGGGGCGGTCGTTGTAACTATAGGTACTTGAGACCTTAGAACTTATATCTCAATGTAGGTGGCGCATTTACGTTGTAGATGTCTATGGGCTCCAGTAAAAATAAAAAAGAATGGGGTACCATTAAAACTGGCATAGAAATAGGGTGGTGGTACATACGTATGCTCACAATTGGAGTTCAATGAAAGCGATAATAATACTACTTCTTAAATAAGAGGCGCACAGTTATTCCAGATCATGGTTGATTTAAGTCTTCTATTAACATAATATTCGCGTAACCGTTTAATTATGGACAGCTATTTCGATCCATTTGTGTTAGTAGCTATTTCGATGAGTATTACGTATTACAATCGAAGTTCAAGCTATAAATTGACGTAGAAACACATTATGTATACCAGTGATTCTCAACCACTGTTCCGCGGCAAATTTTGTGTGCCGCGAAATTTCAAAAGTGTGCTGCCAAATTTTGCGAATATATAATAATGTTAATATTATTAAGTTATATCATTTTAAAAGAAAAATATTTTAAATATGAATACATATATATATTTAAATCCACAAAAAAAAATGTATAGTATATTTTAGTTTATTTCGTATATTAAAATTTTTTGATAAACTATTTATGCAGTGTGTTGTAGTAAGTAAATAATTTTTATCTTTTTTTTTTGTGTGCCGCCAAATTTTGAAATCGTTAAATGTGTGCCGCAACAAAAAAAGGTTGAGAATTTCTGATCTATACATATAAATAAATTGGAGTGTATGTTTGTAACATTGAAATAACCGCTTCTTACTACGTGCATATGAATATATATACGGTAAATACACCAAAATAACATTTATTTTTGTCTGTCTGTCTGTTTGTTCCGGCTAATCTCTGGAACGGCTGGACCGATTTTGACGAGACTTTCACTGATAGATAGCTGATGATCTAAAGAGTAACTTAGGCTACTTTTATAGACTAGCTTTGCCCCGCGGTATCACCCGCGATACGATTAACCGCGGGTAGCATCGTGGGACTCAGCTATCAATAATAAAATTTAATGTTTCCGAAGCGAAGCGAGAGCGGGTGGCTAGTTCTTGATACGAAATTGGCTAATGGCGATTGCATGCAGCAGAGATGCGAATGTTGCGATGGATGTGTGGAGTAACGAGAACGGATAGAATACGGAATGAATATGTTAGAGGAAGTCTGAAAGTGGCACCTGTGACAGAGAAGCTGAGAAGTGCGCGTTTGGGATGGTATGGACATGTGATGAGACGAAATGAAAATGAGATTGGTAAAAGAATGTTAACTATGAATGTAGAAGGATATAGAGGAAGAGGTAGACCTAAGAAGGACTGATGCGTAAAAGATGATATGGGTAAGAGGGGAGTGAGCGAAGAAATGGTATATGATAGAGGTGTATGGAAGGAGAAAACATGTTGCGTCGATCCCAGGTGACTGGGAGAAGGGCAGGATAATGATTGCGCAAAAATTCTAAATTGCGCAATCACTATGCAATTTTCATATAGAACGGCAAAACAGCATTCATCCACTTAACACCAGGTGGGCTGTGAGCATAGATAGATGAACATCTATGCAATATGTTTTAGAGGTACCGATAATGGTTTTATTAAAAATAGACAAACAGTAGACAACATTCAAATGACTACCAATAACAATGTCTGTAACCACGTAAACTGTAAAAATAA